TATGGACTTAGCAAAACTGGGAGCAATGCAAGGGAAAATCAGGGGTAACTGAGAGGAGACAAGGGAAGGGAATGGGACAATCTGCATGCACCAGGGAAGAAGCATGGGACATTGGAGAGGAGAGGGAGAAAAGGGAGCAGCCACATGAAGCAAGCTGCTGGTCAGTGTTGCAGGCTGTTTTAATAAACAACAGATATGTGAGCAATCCTGTTTTTACTGATAGAACACCTGGGCCTCGACGACCAAGGACTCTCTCATGAGAACCAGTTGATAAAAAGTGAGCTAATGAAGTAAACATCCGAATGTGCCAGAGGAGGAGATGGGGTGGAGAGTCCTAATTGAGCCTGGGCCAAGGAGCCAGTCACTGTTCAGACCGTGGCAGGCTCTAGTACAACTGACCAATCATAAGTGCAACCCTGGACATGTAAAATCTGGGCTAAGGGTATATAAGTGCCTGTAATTTCTAATAAAGTTGGAGTTTGCTCTATCAATCATATTGATTGTCTTGCATTCTTCCCTCACTGGAATACACCTCCATGAGCCGGCCAGGCACACCGACAGGTCAGTATGCTTGGCTGGTCAAGCCCTGATCACTGCAGTCTAGGCCATCTTCTTAGCTGTAGTCCTGCTTTCTGTGGGGGTGTATGCATATAGAATTGAGTTCTCTGTGCTGCACCATGTTTGTGCACTACTGCCTGTGTCAGCAAGTGCTGGTAAAGGCACTGCTTTCCACCTCTTTTGCTCTGCATGGCTGGCTGAATATGGGATCTATGTGTATTTACATCTCTGGAATACAGGCTCAGCATCTCTACAGGTTGGGCTCAGAAACCTGGAATTACAGCAATCTCAAACCTACCAGATTAGGAAGGTGAAATCACTTTAGCCTTAAAGGCAATCCACCGGATTTGGTTTCCCTTAGCAATATGTTCCCATCTTACAAAATCTCCTTTCTCTCTCTGTTCCTAAAAACCTGAAATTCCTTGAAAGCAACTTGTGTTTTGTAAAGAATTTAATAAAAATGTAGACGTTTCATGCAACTATAATATTCAGATTCTCAATGTTGCTAATGCCCTACAAAGAAATACAGAATCATACGATCATCAAGGTTGGAAAAGACCTTCAAGATCATCAAGTCCGACCATCCACCCTACAACCCCTAACTTCTAAACCATCTTATGAAACACTATGTCTACCCCTTTTTTGAACATCTCCAGGGATGGTGCCTCCACCACCTCCCTGGGCAGCCTGCTATAATGCCTCACCACCCTTTCTCTGAAGACATTTTTCCTAACATCCAATCTGAACCTCCCCTGGCACAACTTGACCCCATTTCCTCTTGTCCTATTGCTGGTCACTAGGGAGAGAAGGCTGACACCTTCCTCACCACAACCTCCTTCCAGGTAGTTGTAGAGTCTTCTGAATTTTCAGTAACTTGCCCTAGCTTTAAAGCCCAGTGTGAACATACCTGACACCATTGTCACAGAAATTATTTCTGTTTAGCTTACAGGTTGCCCTTTTAACATGTTACCAGTAACAAGTCCAGTGTACAGCAAATAGTAACTATCAAGGCAGAAGAGAATATTTCACTTAGTTGCTCAGAAGACAGTATTAACAAGTATTAACAGGTAAAAGTAACATCAAATCAATCACTCAGCACAGTAAAGTCTTTCTTATTTACAAACTTACAATCTGTCACTGCAACACTTGGGCAGCAGCTCTGAATTACAGAAACAAACTGTTAATTTTGCCTTAAAAGCAATTTTCAGACTTGTTTTTTAAGTCAGAAATGGGAATGAGAGACACGTTAAAATACAACAGTAGAATCTGAAAATGAGTTACAACAAATGGAACCCCGCTGGGCTCAACATTTTGATATAGAAGCAGCACACAGTTTTACACTAAAGTTCTGAAATCTGGCTTCAAATCAGCCTTGCTTATAGATTCTGTGAGCTCCAGGTGCTGAAGACACAGATGCTGAAGTCTCAAAGCTCCCTTGCCTTTTTCATTCCTCTTCTCCCTCTCCACAGTCTCTAGCAGACTTCACTGCTTTTCTTTTCCAGTTCCTCCCATTTTATGTTCCATTGTAAAACCCTGCTTCTCCTAAACCCTCTACTTGAGCATTCCCAGGTCCAGATACATAGATAGATAGATAGATAGATAGATAGATAGATAGATAGATAGATAGATAGATAGTATTTTTTTTTTTGTCTGAGCTCTTCCTTCTTTCCTATCTGACTCCTACACTCCTAATGATGAGAAAGGCTCAGCTCAGAACACCAAGATGGCCCCTACTGCCTGGCAACAAGTTCTCACAATTCAGGGGCCTGGGCCCCCCAAGAGGAAAACAAACACAGCTACTTCGTGATCTGTTTAGCAACCGAGTTCATTGCTATGGTATTATACAATTTAGAGAGTACACGCTAATGTTTTGTATTTCTGCTTCTCCAGGCTTCTCAAAGTTGCAGAAATTGCTAATGGCAGGCAAAGCATTGCAACTGTAATTACAGCAGCTTATCATCCGGGGTTTAAATTGCATTAGACCAGTACTTCCTACTATTAATTAGGTGTGGCTACTTCTTTTATTTTCTTCAGGATACAGGGAGTAAAGGTTGTTTTTCATTTCTCATTTAGGATAAAAATTACCATTTTGTATAATCTTTCAACATACAACACCACTAAGCCAGGAACTACCAGTTTTCTTAACTGTTCCTAATTGAAATATCTGTTCTTCCTCAATTCATCTTTATACTTGATATGATCAGCTGCAGGTTCAACTGTGTGATAGTTTAAAGCTAAAGATCATACTGCAACTAGGAAAAGGAAATGGAAAAATAAAAAAACAAGCATATAACAAACTTCGAAGATAAGAAGTCCAAAAATGTCAGAAGTGGAAATGTAATTGTAGCGGCAATTTGAAAACAGAGCCCAAAGGGCGTGTCCAACACTTCTCCAATAGCCTTAGCTCAACATTTATCTTATTTTTAAATTGGGAGATTCCTCAGTTCTCAGAAGGTATAACAACTGAAAGCATTGTGAATGTTCCTTCTCCCAGAAAGAAAACAAAATTGTTTTCTTTTGAAAAGACACACGCAACAGATCACAGGAGATAAGACACCAGCAAACCGAAAGGAGTCTCAGAGTCAGAGAGAGCCATTATACCAGAAACACAAAATGAAGAAGGAACACTGGGTCTAAGCCAGCAAGCTGATGGAACTTCCCATCTCCACCAATCTTCCCTTTGTGCCAAGCCTGCCAAGATTCTATCTGGGAAAAAAATCACCATCTTAAGCAAAACTGGATGGCAGATACTGTATTTTTTTAAACATTATCCTTTCATCCAGTTCAAACTGGGAGATTACTACATGCCAAAATTAAATGCAATATGCAAATAATTCCAGACATGTTTGCATGTTCTGTAGTGGCCTACAAATGTGTGCAGTGGACAGTGCACAGAAAGGCTTGGTATACGAACTTTAAATTCAGATTACTGCTTGTGAAACCAACTGTTTGAAAATAAATTGTTTTACTTTAAAGGATAGTCATGAAGCAGTCATTAGTAAGTAGCTGAGAGCAGCATTTAGTCTACAGAAGCTTTATTACTGGAAAGTGACTCATATTGAGGGAGGAACTCCAGCTGAAGCAAGTTTTTATCTGTTTTTTATGACACAGCTGCATCAAGAGCAACAGCACACGCACTCAGAAAGGAAGCCTGTTTGGGTAGTCATTTCAAGGTACAACAGTACATGAAAAACAAGGGAAGTTGAACAAGGTCTTCATCATTATCATCTAGTGCTTTGCAATGTACTCTTGCAATGCAAGAGACAGAGAGAAAGGTGTGGTCTGTCCCTTTTAATTAGGTTTTTTCTTATCTACTTTGACTAGTATTGTTTTTGTCCAAAAGCTGCACCTTCCTACGTGTCTGGTGCCTACTGAGAAAGGAGGGCTGATTTTCCTGTAGGTCCTTCAACACTTAAAACTTGGGGGCATGCCTAAAAGTGTTCTTGCAAGCATTTGCAGTTTGACTGGAAAGTAGGAAATAGTACTTATTCTGAGATGTTTTGAAATTTTGATTGTCGCACTGTAGCACAAGTTTGGTTAGCGGGTGTAGAGCCTTGACTAGCAGAGTGAGTTCAAGCTGGCTCCCAAAGATGACTCTTGGCTAGCACAGTCAACAAAAGGAGCTAGTGGATCAGTCACTTTACAAAGTGCAACACACACAGTCTGAGGTAAATTTTTTAAAAATGAGAGTTCCTATTTTATGTTCATTAATACCAGTTGGTCTGTAGCGGCTCTGGCTCTAACAATCTCTTTGGCTACCATTAGCAATGCTGCAATGCCAGTGTTCCCCTACAAGTCTGCTTTCCTTGGTTCTCCTTTGCAGCATAAGAGGAAAGAAAACCCCTCATCACCAACAGTCTTTCCAGGGGTCTGGTTGGATGCGTCAGGTTGGATGGATGAGCAGTGAAACTTCTCTCCTTTGAGCTAGGTAGTAGTAGCCTGCCTGCTTGGTACACAAACTGGAACAATTGTCAGAAAACCTCCTCTGAAAAGAGATGATTGTGGCACTGAACCGTCTTCCTCCTCCTCCTCAGAGGGCTCCATCTAGCCAACTAGGATGCCTAACAAGCAAATTATATACTCGATTTTTTTTTTCCCCTGATTTAGACATTCCACAGCTCATTCCTTGCCAGCAGCTGAAGTTCCATTTCCAAATTTTTCTGCAAGCTCTAACACTCTCTCTTTCTCATCAGGCTGAAGAAACATCTTCTGTAACACTCATCCAGAAGGAAGGAAAAGCAACATTTTACATCAGAAGGTCACAACACATGCTTTGTTCCCATCCACCATGTGAGAAAGCAATCCTCCTTTGGGTGAATTTGCACATGGCTTCAGTCGGAGGACTTGTCAATTCTTTCCCTCAAGTGTGCAAACCCCTGACTGCCAGCTTTGGAAACGCATTATAAAACTGGTTCCTTTTGTTCACTTTCCCTGTGACTCACATCAGCTAGAGGAAAAGAGATACAAACGAAAGTTTAAAGAAAAAGCCCACACTAAAACAATTTACCAAAAGTTGCCAAGACTTTCAGCATTGTATTTCAGCATCATATTTCAGTATTTAATATTAGTCATTACTTTACACGCCAGGGCCTGGCTGGGGCTGAAGAGCAACGTGTTTCAGCTCAAGTTACAGGTGTTGTATCAACCGCTTTTTGATTCCCCCACCACTTCCTGGGGGTAGAGGACACAAGATTACAGAGTTATTACAGGGCAAAAGTAACTCCCCTGCAAATCCGAATACAAAGAGCGGAAAGCCAGGCCTGTGCTCTGCTGGGGCAGAACTGGGTTTCCAACTTTATCAAAAGTGGGAGGAAGGTATGCAGAGAGATGATCAGAAGGTACCCTCGGCCAATCTAGCAAGCAATTCTTCAGTGTGTGGAAGAAAGCAGCTGATTACAAGCTGGTCTTTTGGTCAGTGTCACTTCTCAGATGCCTGGTGCTGCACACTCACATACATGGCCCCCTGCCTCCCCCCAGATTGACACGAGGATGGTATTTACCACCTGTAACCAGACTTCAGAAGAGTTTCTAAGTGTATGCTGGAGATGTAAAAAGAAGATTTTAGGCTTGCACAATTAATCAGAACAGGGTGGGGAAAAGCACACAGATTTCAACAAGTACTCTGAGAACATGTTTCATTTGGATTCAGAAGGTGGCACCTCCCTGGGCAGTTTTCAAGGGTTGTTTTTGAACAACTTCCCTGTATATTTAGAACACACTCAAAATGTGTTGTTTTCTCTGTACCTAGAATGATTGTATAACACACCTTTTGGTAAAAATCATGTATCACTTCCCCATGAGGAAGTCTTAGTTAAAATAATCCAACACAATGTATAAACACATACCAGGGCTATCAAGGCCCTGTATTGAGTTTGTGCATCTATAAACTACCAGTGGCTTCCTGTAGCAGCATGGATCTAGGATGTAGTATTGGTTTATATCACCAGAACTTTCCCATTAATTTATTTTTAAACAAAAGGTGCTACTACATTTAACAACTCAGTTAACCAAACATTTTCCACCTTCCTCCTCTCTCCCCACATAATTTGGTTTTCACTTGCAGTGTTTTGTGTTGCTTCAAACAAGAAATTGTATTCCTAACATTACAAGGCTTGTATCAGTCACTTGTTACAAATCTACACTACACAAGTGTGCTAATTTTGGGCATGGGGGGGAAGTGCTTTTCATTTTACAGCAACTTATTGTACTACCTAGTTCAATGCAGGGGCACTCGAGTCCATCTTCGTTGAGGTGCACAGGTCAGTCAGAGCAGTGCCGGGGTCAAAAAAGGAAACAAGTAGAAATGCTTTCTCTTCCCAACTCTAGGCCAGACCATGTACTACAAGAAGCCAACTAAGACTAGAGGAAGGAAAGACAGAGCAGTTGATCTCTTACGTATCTGATTGTTTGGTGACTTTGCTGGTACAGATACCTGCAGACAGCAAGGAAGACGGGAGATGAAAAAGGGGAGTGCAGAGTGTATGAGCTGCTTCTCCAGAGAAGCAGAGTGACAAGCGCTCCCCCTGAGGTGGCATGCAACCAGCTGCAGAACACACAAGTCCAACAGGCTGTTCTTCACCCGTGCACAGACCTCCTACATGAGACATTTTAACTCGTAAGGCCCAGTTAAGCCTTGTGCTGTCTTTTTCTTGCCACCTGTCAGGGAGATCCCTCATTTGGTGCACCTTCAGCAATAAACCAAACCACAGGTAACAACAGGTGATGAGAAAGAACACTGACTACAAACCACACAAGGGCCAGTGAAGTTGTACAACAAGAACCATGCTACATTATGAATGTAGGTGTGTGAATCATGAAGCAACAACACTTTAACGTCAGTATTAAAAAAAACCTCAACCGGAGGGCACTAAGAGCAGCACCTAAACTAGGCTCTTGTTCCAATGGACACAACTAAGATTTCCTTTCTTCCTTTCTCAAACAAAATGCAGTTGAAATAGAGAAAGACTAGCCTGGGGAAACTGGTCAGCCTCTGTGATGACCCACCTTACTCTTATTCTGGCATTTTCACATCTCAGTGCACAATTGCTTTATTGTTTTCCTCCTTCTACAGATTGCACTGAAAATGTTGATCCAGCACAGCATTAGTAATTAATTCCAAGGCAAAACAGGTAGAAGGTGTATCATATCTATCCACCCTCCCCCAAAGCCTTCCAAAAATAAAAAATGCATCATAACCAGAATAAGAAGATTGAAAATTTTTATTTGTACTTAGCACATACAGAAAAGATCAAAACAAATATTAAAAGATAGCATTTGTAAACAAATATATTTCACAAGAAGTTATACACTATCAAATTTGCTCTGAAAAAATTCATCGTTATAACTATTTATAAATGTGTATTTATAAAAATCAAGTTAGAAACGACTTCATTTTTAAAATATCCCAAATGAAAATTCATTCATTCAAACAACTTCAGAGAGACTGCAGACATAAGGCCTAATTGAAACAAATGTATGAATGAAGATGGCACTAGGATTTCCAGCTTTAAAAAAATAATAAATCGGCAAGTGATCAAAATATCAGCCAAGCCCATTTAAACATCTAGGTTTGTAAAATATTAATTTAACTTTGCAAATGTCTAACTTAAAAAAAACAGAGCTATTTCACAGGATTGTCCTCATCGTGCAGTGTACTGATCATGAGCTGTGTTTCTGAATCCACTCAGAGAACAGTTATCAGTAGGTAGTTTCATGCGATTGTATAGTTCACTTCCATAATCACATTAAAAATAAGAAGACAGCAGCACCCTTTTAGCAAGGATTCATTTTTACCATTCTTGCCTTTATAGCAGCAGGTATGGTTTTGGGGGATGCCATCAATATAATCAGTATGTCAAGAGGAATACATGTACTCCACGAAGTTTATTACAGTGTTCTTTGCCTACACTTGTTTTCAAAGTTAGGCAAGCACCTCTGTTTTTGCTGCAGAACACAAACATTAAAAACAAATTACACTCAAACCTATGACTAATTCAGTAGGCTCCCTTTGTTGGTGGTCCACAAGCCATTTTGTTTGCCAGTGTGAATTCTGTTTTTTTTTCCTCCCTCCAATCTCCTATTTGCACATCAGCTAAAAACCAAAGTTTCTCCAACTTCATCTCTTAACTTGACTCGAAAGAAACAAGGCAATTAGAAGACCTAAGGCACAAATGGCTGATCTTCAACAGCAGGCAGAGGGTCACAGACTCCAAAGTATGGTAGAACGTAAATCCCCAGAAATATTTCTGGTCTTGGGGCACTGAAAATTCTTACCAGCTTTCACAAAAGGTTTTTCAAGATTTTTTTACAAAGATATGGAAAATAATTTTTCCAAGAATGTCCATGAACACTCAACAAGGATGGATGTACATACAAAGACACACACGTTATGCACAATACACGCTGAACGTACTGCAGACAGACAAGGACCATGGAATGCAATGATCGTCTAAGATGGCAGATGAAATGAAGATGACTGGTTCTCAGAGAGTCGTCATGAGTTTATCTTGGTACACCACACTCTGGACTCCTCCTAAATTCTTCTGGTTCTGTTCTTGGATATATCGTAAATTGCTGTCCTCTCCACTTGTGGGGGGTTTCCAATATGGCCTGTCATCATGATAGGGTGGCCTGTACCATTTGCACAGTTATTGGTTAGTGAGAGATGGAAGTAAACTTATGAGCACTACACAGTAACATGAGTTCATCCAGCAAGTGCTAAGCATGCATTCCCTGTGATGGGCAGCTATCAGTAGGGGAAGGAAATGGCAACAGACCTATAGGTCTTATGCAGAAGCCACTGAAGCTACTGGGAATCTTTTAGCTGATTTCAAAAGGCTTTGAAGCAGAGCTCAGTCATTAAAAACCCTCTGTGTTTTCAAGTGTTAAAGAAAATCAATGCTCCTGAATCACAGAGGGATGGTGGGGAGCGAGGAGGAGGCTACAGGAAAACTGTGTACAACAAACACGTAAAATACATCATACAAGGGAAAAAGTTGAGCTCATGAAAATACCTCCCTAAGGCCTTAAAAAATTAAGAAAGGCAATCCTATTAAAAATTAAAATTGCTCTTTGTTCAGGGCTGGTGCAGTTAATTACACTGGAGCAGCCTACAAATGACACAGTTGCATTTTGTTAAGGTGAAGTTAAGATGAGCCTATAGCTAATACAGGTATTTATTTCCCTGTGACTATGTAGTGAAACTTCCAGAAGTATTATGAGGAAATATTTTTTTGCCTTATTTGTTCATTACCTATTGCTGCTTGGAGATATTAACCTCAACTGCTCCAAGAGTGTCTCCTGAATCACTGGGCTGTGTGTGTGTGAGAGAGAGAGAAAGAGAGATACAAATAAATCAATCTAGTTTATAAATAAATAAATAATGAAACATTTTGAACTGTATGCAGGAAACCATAGTATTTAAGATTCCCATATTACCAAACTGAAATTGCACTTCTTATTTTTTGTTGGGTTTTTTTGGTGTTTGTGCTATCAGAAATACAGACAGGTTTAGATTTTACCTTCTTTTGGAGATATTGAACATTAAGTTAACTGCAAACAAATGATTGCACTGAAGTGATTTTACTAAGAAGACTGAGACACATTTCCACATATTATTTCACAAATTATTTCAAAAAAAACCCCACATAGAACATGTATTGCACAGGTAGTTTCATTTCAGCTCTTGGCCCATTCTAGGCTGGGATGCCCTGCAGGGAGAATTTCATGCATCTGTGATTTGAGCTGAAGTTCATAGTTGGGTGGATTAAGCTTTCTCAAATCAAGCCATCCAAGATGTTAAGCATCAAACTCTTCCACTCTGACTCCAAGTTAGAAAACCTTGAAGCTTTCGCTTTAATCACACATTTAAATGCTTCTACCTGACTGGAACAAAAATTCTGAGCACCTTTTCTACCAAGCTTGCACGACTGAGCTTTTAAGTATGGTTTTTAGACTCACAAGCCTAGCTATAAAAAAGCCATTGTTCATATTTCAGTGACCCTAATCTTTGCCCAGGCAGTGGAGAGGGGCTGAAGGGGGAGGTTGTCTCTACACACTACAATACACCATTGTGCTTATTTCAGTATCACTCTGCTCCAGGGTGAACTATTTGGCTTTAAAATAGTTACAGACTAGTATAATGAGAAATCTTCAGAAAAAAATTCCGCAAAACATTAAATGATTTCTAAAATTATCAACATCCCTGGCAATTATTCTTTTGCAATGTGATCTCGTATCTTTTAAATGATACACCAGAAAATGTATAAGTAAATCCTAAAACCAGGAAGAATCTTGAACATTAAATATAGGTAAAATTGATTACCCAAATCTGAAGTCTTCTGTTTCTAGCATAAAGTAAATAATTGCTTTACTGCTGTATGCTAGGAATTTTGAGATGATAATGAAAATGTCTGCTTCTCTGCCTCATAAGCATTTCGAATAACATATTTACTTTTTTCAACACTCCCAGACTCAATTTCGAAGCAAACTGTCTTTTCATTCCCTTTAAGCTCAGCTTTGTCTCCAGAGCCTGCCTACACTAAGAATGAAGTCTATCTATCTTGATGTAAGAATATAGAGATAAAAATGTAAGATGAATGTTAATGAAGATTAGGTATTTTTTCAGTCAAGACAGTAATTATTTGTCTAAAAAAATGCATCACTTAAAAAGGTTATTTTTTTTAAGGATAAAACAGCAGCTTGTTTTTATCACATTCACAACAACTTATCTACCAGCAGATGTGTGCCTCCACCATGCACTGCACCATGCTGGCTTGAACAGACTGAATTTCTTATAAAATTCCTCTCATTACTAGTTACAAAATAAAAAAGTATGTGAGATGATAGCACAATAGCACACATAGGAATATTTTGGTGAAACAGTTCTTAAAAACTCAATGTTCTTATTTCATTAATACTAATTCTCTGTAAAGTGACTGATACATTGTTCCACATGTGTTTTCCATATACATTTCTGCAAAAGATTAAAAAAGTGCCACAATGCAAGAATCTGTTCTCTCATAACTCAACTTTACCTTAAAACGAGTTTCTTTTTTGTCTCAGGAGATTAAATACTAATCAAAGTGCAATTAGAGTTACTGAAGCTACTGAGCATCTTTCCAGTCAATATCCTCCCTACAGAAGTGCACTAGAGTTGTATTTCAAATTCTGATTTAAAAATCAACCTGAAAAAGATTTCATCAAGGAGATTAGGACATTCCAAAGCAAAATCTAAATTGAAATGATTTAATAATGATTCTGCATAATGATTCATTCCACCAAAGCTTCATGCCAACAGATTAATATAAAGATACAAGTAATCATCTTTGTCATGAAGTGAAGACTGCTTACCTTACATTCACAGGTGTGTGTGGATGCCAGTGTGGCTGAGCAGGATGTATATTAGGATGATACTGTGGCTGCAAGTGAAAACAGTGAACTTGGTTAATGAAATAGTATAAAAACTCTCTATTAACTTTAACTTTTTATTTTCCTGGGGCCACAAAAAACATGCTCCCTGTGAGCCCTAGAAACCCCATTTTCAGACTTCCTCTCATGCCATACAGTGTGTACATGAGACCTCTTTGTGATGAGCTTGCTTGTTAGGACACACTCATGGGAAAATGCAAAGAAAATGTTTTTTCTGTTTGAGAGACAACCTGGCACATCTAATGCTTCTCATAGAAAACACATCAAAAGAATGTCAGCTTTAATCAAAGGTGGGGAGTGAGAAAGGTCACTGTTATCATAGCAGTCTTCAGAAGGTCACCTGTCTTTGGTGACAGCATTTCTCTCTTATATCCATAAGATCTTGAGTAGAAACAGTGAAATGAAATCACCAGTGAGGCTTTTAATAAAAACAAATGTTAAGACTTAAGTTCTTATGCACACATTCAGTTTTAATGAAAGCACAGTTTGCTTTCTCAGTAGCACTGACTGCTAGTATCACAGATGAAAATGGGGTAAGGCTTTTCCCTGAAGTGTACAAATGAGCCTGTTTAAAAAAATGAAACCAACAAACATTTGACCAGCAATGAATTCCTTAAGCATTGTGATGGGCAAGATAATTGCAAGATTGAACTTCTCATGGATTATCCAATGTAAGAGGCTGCTCTAGACAAAAGCTTGATCACAGAGCAGTCTCCCGAGTTCCATCATATTCCCAGTCCCAAAGTTTTTAACCTATGATTTCAT